TAGTTTTTCAAATGAAACGTTAATAATTGGTATTTAGATATTGACTTTAACTTGGAAGTATGCATAATTGTGTTTTTAGAAGCTTGAACAAGAGCTGATTTTCTTTCAGGCTGTACCGAGTAAATTAATTCCCTGAACATACTTTATTCCCTCTCGTACAAAGTTAAACAGACCTTTAAATTTACGTTCCGGCAACTTAAGTACAACCATACCTGATACATGTTTGCTGTCATAATAGTAATTAAAACGTAGTATTTAATTTACCCAGTGGCCAAGTAAAGATGCGTAACTTTTGCGTTAGCGAACAAACTTGAAAGTAGCCAGTTGACGAAGTAATTAGAGATTGTTTCACTTTAGTGACAGTAAAATAGTAACTTAAACGTACATGTATGAAGACCTGTTTCGTTGATTTTGTAACCAATGCCTTAAAAAAGGCTCTTGTATTTTAAGAAACAATAGCTTTTAAAACATGAAGAATTAAGTTGTCAGAGTTAAAGACTGTTTCATTGAGTAGAATCTCACGTGAAATCCTCGTGAATTATGATGATGAAACCGTCTACAACAATGATAAAAAAATCCTGGTGTTTCGCAACTATTCGGTATTCGATGAGCCACATCATCTTAATAAACCCCAACGAAACCTTAGAGTTTTCCTTCTAATCAACGTTTGGTGAGTCGATAGCGGAGCTCCACGCACGCGCGAAGCGCGCGCGTGGGCAGAGCCTCATATCTAAGGAAATCTATCCATCCTAGAAAATTTCGTAATCACGTGACCGTACACCGCCTCCGACCGTCTGTCTGCACCACAGGGAAACTAATGTTTAATCTCATACTTTCTAGTTATAGAAAGCCCGGGAGATGACCATTTCTGGATATATGATGACGTCACTGAAAATTGCATCTCGGACCTTCAAAGATAAATCAGTATTCGTAACTTTTTTGCGGCGCTATTATTTTGGTTCCTTTCATTTATGCGATGAGACCAACCGTTATTTGAAAAAGGAACATCAGAGGAACATGTGAAACAAAAGAAAGATGGCGTGCGTCTCTGCAACGCAGAGAAAGAGCCGCCGAAAGTGAATTCAACGGTTGTGTTTTTGATGCAGTCTGAGTGGAGTGGTCCTTGAATTCTTGCAAATTTCAGGTATGTAAGAATTTTTTCTGGTTTTGAAAAAATTACTCCGAGATATTAGAGTAAATTTGCTTGTTGTTTATTCACACAAACTCCATATGCACGATACTTTAGTTCATATGCACGACCCTTCAAAATCTGTAAAGCATGTGATTTCGGCGCCATTACTGGTTCACTGTCTGAGTGTTTCGTGGATCGTATTAATTCTAAACTGATCTTTGGTTTCGTTTAATTTGGGATTTTTCGTGTTACAGGGCGTTGCAAATTTTTATTGGTTCTTAAATTTAAAATCCCTAGATTACACTGTGGAGGATTTCAAACTTTAACTGAGCGAATCAGTCTTATCTTTGCTGTTGTTTGTGTCACATTTAGAGATCATTTCCTGTGCTCTTTGTAATTGTTTTGTCCGTGAATGTGATGATTTCCTGCTCTGCTTTGTCACGCGTTCTTGTAGGGCGTTGAATTCTCGCGGGATAAAAAGGGGTCTGTAGGCCTAAATGACTTTTACCTCATGATTTAAAATGTCGCTAGTTCCGATTATTTTCTTTCTAGCGGGTAGATTATGCTGTAGAGCAAATTTTATTTTTGCGGCTGGTCTTCCCTGGTCTCACGTTGAGAGGTCATGAAGCTGATCTGTTTCAGGCATATTGATTAATTATTTCCTCTCATTTTGTTTCTTACAGGATTTATCTCTGATGTGATGTAGTTTAAAAAAGCATTTTCTTTGGCTTCGGTTCGAGGATCACGACGTTTATATGATGAATTTGTACCAGAAAGAATTCGCTCCACTCTTCCAGCGTGCAAGAGTAAATGCTGAATAAATTCTTTTATTTTATGCTATCTTTCGGTGCAGTGATTTCTTATTGCTTAACTTGTTTTGTTTCGGCCGATAGCCGCATTACAAGTAGCCGCAATCAAAAATTTGTTTCACTTCTACTCATCTCCAGTAGCTCTCGGCCAAATTTACTTGCTTTTGGTTTTGATCTCAACTAATCACAACGCACCATACCTATATCCAGAAATGGATATCGCCCGGACTGATAGATAGTAATTTGACAGTTCAGGTGCAACCTGATATTGCACATCCATGTTGTGGTCAATTGACAGCTGTCAAAATAGGGTATCCGCTTACCAGTATCAACCTGACTGTATCGCGGGTTCAGGTATCGACCTATCGAGGTCGAATATTTTTTTGAGGTTATCCGCTGACAAGTTACTAGTTTTCAAATCATTGCAGGCTCAAGTTTAATTTTTTTTTTCATGCATAGGAAATAAGTTGTGTTTATGAGCTGCACTAATCAAATTTTGATTTCAAGCTGACCTCGGACGCGAAAATTGAGCCAGTTTTAACAGGTTTGGTAGGGCGTTACTTTTGATTCACCATGGTCACGCGTTGGTCACCCTCTACGTCCAATTTTTATGCTCTGATTGGTCAAAATCTGACAGGTGATTTCATGCCGAAAATTTATGCAGCTTCTGAAAACTTGTTTACTGATAGCTGAAGTTGACAGAGTTTTGTGTCATCTTGTGATGTTTTTAACTGCCTTTTTCCACTGGATGTACAAAATGAAATACAGCTGCTTTCAAGATTCTTCTGTTATTCATGGCTTGTTTGTTTATTGGGTTATTGGTTGAGAAATGTGCCGCTTGTCAAAAACATTGGAAATCCGATTACGGATGGCATCGTGTTCACCTCGCTTGATGCGTATAAGAGAGTTGAAAAGTCTCAAGCGATTCTGGCCTTACTTGATGGCTTTCTGGAGCTTCATCTCGACTGGTAAGCTTGCGTAATTATTTTATTTGATATTTTGTTGTTGTTGTTGTTTTTTTTTCTGGTTTCATGAAGTCAAGCGTAGTTTATGCGGCTATGCACGTTTGTAAGATTTGAGGCAATGGATCTGACCTAGTATCAGGTTTGCCTGCTTACATTATATGCTGAAGCTTACATGACTCAGAATTTTCAGAGACACTTTTATTAATTTTGTCTTCGTGAATGAAAATTGCTGTCTCTGTAAATGTTTCACCGCATTTTGTTTATTGATTGATTGTTAGTAGTGTCTCTTGCAATTTTTTTAAAATCGCTTTGCCGGTTGTTTTCAGTCGCACATGAACATCGCTTCTAGGATAACTCAAAATGTCGCGCGTATCAAACGCTTTTAAAGATTACGCATAATAAAACCGTTAAATGAAGAATTAAAATTATAAATTCTTTAGTGCTGTTCAAACAAGCCAGCTCGCACTGCAAATTTGAAAAGATTTAATTAGAAGTTTAATTTTTTGCTATTTATATTTCAATTTTTACATTTAGTTCATTTCATTTGCCGGAAAGTAAGCCTTAGAAATTAAAAGGACGTTTGATCAATTCACGCTCGCGCATTCTAGTCTTATTTTAAATTTTATAGCGGAAGGACATCTGTGAGCAGGGAATAAGTCAGAGCAGAATTTGATGGTCGGCGAATTTCTGTAGTCGTCCATCGTTCTGCTAGTGATAAGCTAGCCGCTGAATCATTTGCTCGTCTTGCTTGTTTTGGGCCACGTCTTATTCCGGTCAATTAGACAGAAAAAGTGTCTGGCAAGGTTCAGCTGAAGGTTTCCAATTAAAGATTTGTGAACTCGTGTCTGGCAAACTCACTTAGTGTTAAAATATACACTGTTCTACGCACCTTATAACTTCATCTGCGGTTAACGAATGTCTTTTGGTCCATAACTTTCATAACAACTGCTCCACAGAATGTCACCGATAACACGTAACGCAAAAGAGTATCGAAGTATGACTGCACAATTGATGTCACAAAATCTACCTATTGTAAGCTGGTCCTTCGGGATTTTTTGTGTTTTACGTCATCCTAACCATTTCGTATTTGCGGGCGCAAACAATAGAAACGTTATCATTACCTACCGATTCCTCGTGGCCCCTGTTCAAGCAAATCGAGATTTTTTCTATATTAACTGTATGACTGTATCGGGAGTCGATTGTATAAAAACCCCGCCTCATAGTATTGTTTACCTCAAATGTGATGTATAAAAGTATAGATGGCTGGCTTACACATCACCAGATTTATAAGTAAACTTGTCGAACACAAAAAATTCGGCTTGATTTTTTATTTCGGCCTCCCCTTTAGACAAAGGAATGCAGCCCCTAAATTACAAATGTGTAAATTGGCTAATCTACTGTGATCAAGTTCAAGTTCATTTATTCACGTTTATTCACATTTATTCCTTCATTTATTCTTGATCCATCGAAGATGAGTGCTATTCTTGGGGTGTACATATAAGCTTAAGGCTATTAACGAAAGAAAGATTTGGTCCCCTCTTCCACTATTTGCAAATTATTTTTCTTTAAAATCATTAAGCCTTTACCTCAAAAGTCGCAAGAATGTGCCCTGATATGTTTTATTTAAATTGTAAATTTATTAATTGGAGCTTCGCTTTTAGCCCTGGCTAAATCTATGATTTATTGTACTTTAACAATATTATTTGTAAAAACTATCCAAAAAATGCCGGCACCTCATCTGGAAAATGCACTGAAAAAAACACACATTCGCTTTCGCATTCGCGGTGAACATGTCAGGTAACCGGTAATATAAGCAGTTTATTTGAGAACGGCAAAAACACATTGCATGTAGCAATGAAGTTTTGAATATTTGACTTTTGTAACTAGAAACAAATACAAATTTAAGCCCATTATTAATGGTGGTGGTGATATGAGTTCAAGTAGCCGGATATCGATTTTGATAATTTTTATTTCGAAGACCGCGCTTCACGAGCTTTGAAAAAATGCCCCGTTTTTCAAATCTGTCCAAATCAACTGTCGTAGGTTTAGTCTGGATGTTACATGAATCTTCTTTCAACATTCTTTGACATCTGATTAAGGCTTGCACAAAAAATCCAAGTATGCAGTGGCAGTGTTACGACTTGATAAATCAATTGCTGTCACTTTAATTTCAGTACCTCCAAAGTAGACGCAAACATCAATGCTTCGGTTAGTGCCCTTTGAGATATCAGGAGATCTGACAACGACTTTTCCTATCGAAGGCCCCACTGCATCATCAGTAATGAACTTTGCTTGTGGGTCGGTAGAAGTAAAAAACTGAAAGGCAACGCTTGTTTGATTTCCTTTCAAAGGCTGGTAATTTGGAAATCTTTTTATCTCTCCTACTTTCACCCTTTCATTTTCTTTAGCGAGAACAACAAAACAATCTTTGCACCAAGCAACATCTTCTACAACGTGCCTCTTCTCTATGGGATGAAGTCTGGGATCAAAGCGGTGGTTGGTGTCAAAACCGTAAGTTGTGGACATGATTCTGGAATCAATTGCGTGCGGCTTTTGCCCGAACATCACTGCCCCTTGCACTACTGCAATACTTGCGTCCAAAGGAACTAAAATCTTGTATCTGGTGGAAGAAATGAGAATGTAAAAGATTTGTTACTTATCAACATGACAATAGAAAACAAATTCCTTAGGCTAGCGTTATACCGATATTTTTTTTAAGAAATCTTACAAGTTTAGAACCAGCTGTAAAGGAGAAAAAAATGGAAGATTCAAGAAACGTTTGTCTTTATCAAAAAGCTTGATGATGCTGTTTATCTCGGGGGAAAAAAAGTAAGATTCAAGTAACGTTAGTCTTTGTCAAATAGCTTGATTATGCTGTTTATCTCGGAAGTTTTTAGATTAACCGTTCGATTCAAGCCAGTGATGGCGGAGTTTGTGGCACTTGAGACATAGGAATGTCGCTCACCATGCAGTCGAAGTAGCTCAGTGAAATGGTCTAAAGGTAGTCCATCAGAAGTATCATTTACAAAAAATGTTATATACTGTGCTACTATTAAGTATATACTAAAACTGTGGATAGTTTTTTTCGCGCGCTCTGATTGGCTACTCAACCTTCGGATATCCAGTGCTATTCACTGATTCACTTCCAGTTCCTCTGAGAGCGACGCCAAACTCGCGTAAGCTATGAGCAAAATAGCTTCTCGGTTTGCTGCCGTAACAAACGAAGAAATTTCACAAATAATCAGACAAACTGGTCCAGAAATACACCAAGAAGGTTACAAAATTCGCTTTCGAAGTTTTAACAGGTAAAGCTTCAGCCTGTTTGACTTGAGTTCATCGATGAAACCTGTAAAAAAGTCTTGTTTACAAATGAATATTAAGTCCTGCGTCCCTTTATTTAGCTGACATGTTCATAAATAAGCTTAAACTGAACTAAATTTAATAGTTTTTTACAGAATGATTTTAAATGCAAAAGAAGCAATTTCCCCGCAAGAGCTAAACAAATGCCTTCAAAAGTTTTATTTTTCCGCAAGAAAACGCGAGGGCCGTTCGGTAATTGCGAGCCAAAATTGTCGGTGGCTTGTGGTGGATATTTACCTCCACTTCGGTGAATAATTGTAATTTATCTGTTTCTGATTAGCTTAAAACCCCGCCCAGCTAATTCTTCATTACCTGCGCTAGCGTTGACCAAATTTGGAAAATGCTTGCCTGTATCAGGACAATTGACGTCAAATGTACAAATCTTAACAGAAAAACGAATAGCAGAAGGAGCGGGAATTCAGCTGTTTTGGCAGAAAAAAGAAAAAAATCCGAACTGCTGGCTAAAAACATAGCAAAAATAGCAAAAACAACACTCAAAGGATGGCAAATGTTATTTGACGTATGTCTGCTCGAATAAACATCCCTTTTCACCCTGAAACTGCCAATAAACAGGTAAACGGTTGTCAGGAGAACTTTACATAGATCGCAGTAAGCAGTCATGATTCAAAGTTTAACCATATTCACACCGGTCTCAAAACCGCTCATGATAAAGCCACCGAAAATAACACAGAATGATGTACTCATCATTTAAAACATTTAGGCAATTGATTATGACGTCATTTTGTTGAATTTATTTGCAGAATCCAAATACTATCGATATTTTGCCTCAAAAAGTTAAAAAAAACCATATAATTAGATGTTTGGCAAGATAAAAATAGTTGGCAAACACATTAATAATCTTTAAAAACAGCAATGATTAATGATTACCTCATTTATTATGAAAGAATTATCTGGAACTATTTGCTATCTTAGATCCACCCTTTTAAATTAAGTAAATGATTAAAAAAAAAAACGTATAAATCGAGGTAATTGTGATAGAAAAATATTGAACTGAAATTTGAGCTTTAAAAATTATGCAGCTTAAAAACACTAAAGCGCCTTGATTGCACTAATTGTGGTAATAAATTTGATAAATTATTGCTCAATAAAGTGAAATGCTATAATTTAGCAAATTTGAATAGAAATAAAGCATTAAAAAAAATTGAAAAAACATGGCTGTTAAAATTCGGTTTCCCTTGCTACGTCAATTAATGTTCAGGTACACGTTACGCCGACTTTAAAATGTTTACATAATATATAGTTTTAGGAAAAGTCGTTAAGTTTGGTGGCCATGGCTTATTAAATGGTTTTAAAATTATTCAACGTTTATCAAGGGGGGCTCCAAAAGCTCCCCCCGGTCTGAATAGGGTTATTTTGAATGAATAATAAAACAAGGATAAGGCTGCGTATGATATGATTAAGACTCGAGGGGTAAAAAATAATACTAATAAAAATAAACGCCCTCCTCCATCTACTTAATTCTTCGTATTAACACCCCGAAATCTGCAAAATATTTCATATCATACTCAACAGGGGTCTTTTTTGCATGAGCATGCGCGACCGCTGAACAAGCGATGTGCATGGAGGCTCACCACAGGGTTTGTCCTCATCAAAATGGCGCGTCTCAAAGCTATCATGGCGATTATTTTGCTCGTTGGTCTTGGCGAATGTGCTCGTGATTTAACAAAATGTGTAGTTTGCAAAAAAAAAACTCTAACATGGTCTTAACAAAAGCGAAGTAGACCGGCTTTAACATACACGAGCTACTATCAAATTTCATCTCCCCACTTGACCTGGACAACAGCGCGCGTATATGTAGTGCCTGGAGGATTGCGCTGACCTCATCAAAGTCTAAACAAAGTGCAGAAACGTTTGTTGATGCAAGTAAACACTTTCAATTTTCTTTGTTTTGAAATGGGAAAGGAAGAGAAATATTAAAAAAAAAAATAGCAACTTTCAGCGAGTGGGTTCGAAGTGCGTGAAAGCCGATGTTCAGTTCAGCAGTGAATTAATATATGTTCTACAATTTTCCCAGCACTTTAAAGCTACAAAATTAAGAGCACACGAGACGTAGATTAGTCACCTGGTGAGATGTTGGTGGTAGTCACTCTGTATGTCTCGAACAATAAAAATAATGAATATCAATGAGACACAGTCAAAACTGCATTCAATAGGACCGAAATTAAAGTCCAATCTTGTGACCGATTTTGATGAAACAAACGGTTAGGTTTCCCAAGAAGTACAGTAAACATGTGATGCACACCAAAAGTTAAAAATCATTAGAACATTTAAGTTCTGGCTAAAAGCAAATTCCTGTAAAAGATGCGTTGCAAAGTTAGTCCACGCAAAAACAAGAAGTTCTACAATTTTCCTATAAACAAACTTTGTATCGCTAAAATACTTAAGGCAAAAACTGTCTATTCCAACTGAAAACGGCGTGGTAGTCGCCCGCTGATCGTTATTAATCCACTCCCGAAATATGGCTTAATCAGTTATTAACAAATTATTGACAGAAATCCTCTACGGCATCGAGAAACTGATTTACATCCGATTTATAGACAAACACAATAAAGAACATTTTGATCAATAGCTACGCAATAGCAATGCATTCTATGCCAAACTTTGTGGTTCTTAAAGGGGGATCAAGACACGAGTCGAGCGCCAAACAACAACAAGCAGCCATGTTCGTGTCAGACATCCTTGAGAAACTTGCTCTTTCACCTCGTTCAGCGCATCAGTCTCCACTTTAAATCAACAGATCTTTACTTATTTTGTACAACGAAGGTCTTTCCTAAGTTCCTGCTACCATTTCAATCTCCAGCAAGCTTTCAAAGTGAACAATTTGGTTCCTATGACTATGCAGTACGGTCGCTGTCACTGGTCGCGTGCTCTTTGACAAGTCAGCGGTCGCGCATGCTCATGCAAAAAAGACCCCTGTTATCATACTCAGTCTCATCGAATATAACTGCCAATTATTATAAGTGATATTATGCGAGTGCTTGTAAAAGAACTTAATTGTCACACCAAACACCCAGAATTCGCATTGATGTAGAGCGTATTTTTTCTATGCATGCTGCTGATATTACCGCTTTGTGCCCAAGAGTAATCTAAATGGTATGTAGATTTACTCGAGCCTAATAGCGGACCTCTCCTTAATACATTGAAATTATAACAGAAGCACTGAATAAACCATTTCAAAAATATCTAACCAACTTTATGTAATAAAGATTAGTACTAAAATGATTTTTAAGAAAGTAGATCTTTCTGTCTCAAGTGAAGGCCAAAATTAAAAGAAAAAAAACGAAATAGACCAAAATTTCGCTCGCCATATTGCTTTCTTAACAAAAGAACACAAATTGTTGCTTGAAAGTGTATTTTGTGAAGCACATGCTGTGGCTGGAAAAAAGGTTTAACCCTAGGTCTCTGTTTCCTAAACGAACCAGACCTAGGCGCTAAATAAATTGTAACTTTTTCAAACTTAAATTTTGTAATATGCCCACGCACATATCTTTTACTGCACAAATGCGGAGTGTACCAGGAAATGAGGTGTGAATTCACGAAAGTATTGGGAATTCTATGCCATTTTTATGTGTATTGATCCAGTGATCACTTTGTCTCAACATTTTAGTTGTTGCTCCAATAATAAATTGATTTGGGGGCCGTTCTTGTTGTTTTTGCGTTGTTTTAATTTTGTTATTATCAGTTATTTTTATTATATCATTTTTTTTCAGTTTGCTGGACTTTATTACAGTAAGAAATAGTTTTCTTGAATACTTTAAAGTTTAATCCTGGGTTTGGACAAATTTTAAGTAAAGTTTCCTTGTTTAATAAAATATTGTTGAGTGACTCTTTATTCAAGATCCAGTTAATTCAAAACACAAAATAATACTCTATATAATTTGCAGAATTAAAGTCGATGTGTTGCTTAAAATTTTTATCCTCGATTACCGCTTATCCTGTCAGCCCTTTAGTCACCCTCGCAATGAAGAATATCTTAGGGGAAGCACTGGAAGGAAATGGATATTTTAAGTCGACATTCCAGCTCGAATTCACTTGGTTTCAGGCGTAAATCTCTGGCCTGTTTAGCCGGCCTTTCCCCTGCCATGCAATTGGAAGTCACAGTTTACCTAAACTTACGTGGAGACAGTGGCCGTGCGTACCGTAACCTCATAACCAAAATTGGTCGCATCGATAGGTTACCAGTTTTGTTACCCATGCTCTGCGACGCCTGGCCGGAATTATGACAGAGGAAATTTTCTACTTTGGTCTGGAAAATCTACTTAAAAAAAGAAATCCTTACGGTATGCTACCTGCTGCTGAATTTGTTCTTGATGGCATCCTGGAGAAGAGCAGACTGGGAGAAGCCTCCAACCAAAAAGAAAAACTGCAAATCCTTAAGGCAGCGATTCTCCAAGAGGTTGGTCAGGTGCTTTACAATTCCATGCAGAACTGGCTTAAACAACTTCTTCATCGCTAGGGCTTCTAAACAGAGATATTCATTCCTGAGGAACTGGACTCCTTCTATGCTACTGGCAGGTCCACGATACTCCGATATTAAAGCTGTTAAAGAGCGGGGAAGTCGAAGTCTTGTCGTCCCACCCTCGAACGCTCGTCGCCCTCGCTTCTTCATTTCAAAGTCGTTCATCATGTCAAGCCATTCTCCAGGATATCTTGTAGAGAATGCTTCCACCACAGTAGATCCGAAGAACTGCTTAAGAAGAGACACAAACTCCTCGTCAACTTTTGTTCCACCAAATGGTCCCCCGGTTACCTGGAATATTTCTTTTACGTTGCCATTTGTCAAGATTTCATGAGCTGTCACGTCTAAAGTTCCACCTTTACAAGAACAAGAAAAAGAAAACGCTGTAGATTACATCCATTATTTAAATGCAAGCAAAAGATCAGAAATGTACTGATGCCACCCCTATTGTATTTATATATCACACTCGGACATCTCAGGTTTTGCTCAAACAAGCAGTGTTAAAGAAACGCACACTGCGCTCTGTTCCTCCGTGCTCTTAACATTTTAATTTCTTGTTCATTTTAAGTGCATTATTTTTACTATAAATCACTGCCATAACTGAGTCCTTAACTTCTGAATACGACTAGAATGGAGAATGGATAGAAAAGGAGGTCGATCTTGAAAGTCTGACAAGTAAGCAGTTCTATGAAACAAAAGATAAAAGATGTATAAGGATAATTAAACACTCAAAGACAAGATAATTGCCCCCCCCCCCCCTCCCCCCCCCCCCCCCCCTAAAGGAATCCTTGAAATTTTTACATGTGGGACCCCGAAACAGGAAAAAAAATTTCCCCGTTGAAATTTTAAATCTTGGGTTTTCAATCCAAAAAAAAAACCAAGAAAACAAAAAACCCCACGTTAAAGGGCGGGAACCAGCGCGGCCCGGGGAACGGAAGAGCGGGGGGGGGGAGATAGAAAAGAAGGTAGATCTTGAAAGTCTGACAAGTAAGCAATTCTATAAAACAAAAGATAAAAGATGTATAAGGATAATTAAACCCTCAAAGACAAGATAATTGCCCCCCCCCCCCTTCCCCTCCCCCTCCCTTGTAAGGGAATCCTTGAAATTTCTGCATGTGGAATCCGGAATCAGGAAAATAAATTTCCCTGTAGAATCTAGAATGCTAGGCTTTGCAATCCAAAATACAGCTCAAGAAATACAAAATCCCACTGATAAAGGCGGGAATCCAGCTGGGCCCGGTTGCATAAAACGTTCGCAACAACTACGGGTATACTTACGTGCACTCGTAACTTAAGTCAGTTGTATGAAATCACTCAAGTGGTCCACTTAGGGAATTCACTTAAGTGGGTGATCGCTTTCTCCAGCGTAATGTGCCCGTTTAAACTCAACTAAAATTTTTAATCGATGCGATGAAAAACCTCACAACAAAGCTGTCTCGAATTTGAGCGTGTTTCCTAAAATATTTGTTTGAATTTAGCATCAGCTTGACCAAAAAGTCAATAACACAATGCTAATTGATAAATTTACGTTTCAAACAGACTTTCTCTTCTATAAAAAACACACAAAATGTACCTTATCTTCGCTTGCTCGATTTTCCTTCAGCAGATTCTAGCCGCGAGGAAAACAGTCATTAATTCATCCAGGGCAAATTTGTCGCTTGATCTTTTGTCGTTGTTCCTTCAAAACAACAGCTTAGTATTTTCTTCAACTTCCACTTTTCATCTGTGCATTTCATCGGTGTATTTTACCGTCAGGAGAGGAGATTTGTTGAATTTGCCAAAATTTTACTGCGCTAGCTCAGTTTCTTGGCGTGCACCCACAGGCAAATGGTAGTGGCTAATGACCAATCAGAGCGCGCGATTTACTTTTGTTATGTTATAAAGTACTATATCAAAGTTACGTGTGCCCTTAAGTGAGCTCGTAAGTTACCACGTAAAACAGAAACTTACGAGAGTGCTAAGTGCGTTCCATGCAACACACGTAAGTGTACCCATAACGGATTCGTAAGTGACCTAGTTAAGTGAGCACTTACTGCAGGTTTTATGCAACCGGGCCCAATACCTGAAATCCGTAATCCACGGGGTGGAATTCAGAATCCAAGACTGTCTTGGATTCCCTTACACGGGGCGTTAATTCAAAGTGGTTAACTGAGTGCTATTGCATCAATTAGATTACCTCCAATATCTACCACCAAATATTTTGCTGCTGGGCGTGCAAATACGTCAGATACATCAGCATCCCCTCTCTCACTTGTGAAGTCTTTCATCTTTTTGTCTCTGCAATGAATTGACGCAGCTTCTGGTTCTAACGCAATAAGTAGCTGTTCCGGGTTATTAGCAGAACCAACACCAGCCTTGAAATAAGTACAGAATGGTATTACACGGAGCAGAGTTATTATGGCCACGATAACACAATAGCTCGCGGCATTTAGTAAACAATCTGCGAGCAGCGGTCAGCTGCCTATGGGTGCATTTGATTTTTTTTATACCCTTGAGAATAAGAATCCATCCAATTTCTATTATGACTGTGTCCAAGTTTAGAAGAATAACTCTGATTAATGTAAGTTTCATAGGTGGCAATGAAACACAATAATTCGCAGTTTTTGATTTAGCTTGCAAAACGAGTTTGTTCAGAAGGCTGGCTTTCTATTTAGCCTTCACAAGGTTATTTTATGTTTCACTCCTTACTTAAAACATGAAATGACAGAAAATGCAAAGAAAACAAAAACAACAAAAAAGCAATGAAGCGAAGTAAAACAGCAACACAAATTTTGAAATGACGGCCGTTAATTTTTCATCCACTGAGCAAAAAAGAAAGAAAGAAAGAAAGAAATGAACGAAATGAAAGAAAAATGTATCGGTATTATTCACCATATAGGCAGCTTCTCTCATAAATTGCTTAGCAGCAGGTTTCCAAATAGCAGGTACCGTTAAGACCCACTGTATGTCCATAGCATTGTACCCATCATCTCCAGTCACCTCACGGATTATTTCGATAGCTTTATCTTTGAGATATCTTATTGAATGTGAAAAAACGGTGAGAGCTTCCAATTTTCTTCCATTACTTGCCATCAACTTGGCGTTACGGTCCAGACTCTACAGTGTAAATACACAAGACTACATATAAGATGCCTTATCTCACAATCTATACTTAGCCTACTTAAGGGGTAACGCTTACATATTCCTACAAAATCTCCCAGCAACCCAAATTTAGAAGGGTTTGTATGGAGTCATCAGGGCATAACTATGCTAATATCTCAGAGACAATTTGCCCCTCAATGCTAGTTTTTGGCAAGTAGGCCTCTTGGATGTTGTCTTTCAGAATATCCTAACAAATCCCACAGTTTCACTTTTTTATTACGTCACACTTTTGAACCGTATTGAAATAAAACTCAAATAACCAAAAATAGCAAGAGCACGGACGATCATGGCGTGCTCTTTCTTTTCCTCTCTCTACAGCCTCTCTGTGACACACTAATTACGCCTCTGTTGCCGAGTCCTTATTTTTCAGTTATTATGACTGTAGATGCAGCCATCATTTGCAGTGGGAATGTTACGCAATCACTCTCTTCAAATGCAGCAATATTTTTTTTACTGCAGGATAACCATTAGGATATCTAACATAGGTGAAAAAAATTTTCATAACTTAAAGATTTTACCTCAGATTTGTGAAGTGTCATTTTAAACCGTTTGAAGTACATGTACTGTTGATCTTCCCCGCAAAAAAAGTTGGCGTATTTTTCATCTGCTTCAAATCCAAATGAATCAAACTGACCGTCGGGACGAAGAAGCAAAGACGTCGATGTTTTCAGAGTGGAAAGACCTTGCTCGTTTCCCCATGCCTTGTTCATATGGATACCGCCTTCTCCTTCCTTGTGGTTGAAGGCAAAAGCGAAACCGCTGTACGTGGTTCCAAAATCAATGGCAACTACAGCAATGTAGCTTGAATTATCAGAAATCATCAATCCTTCAAATGCTAAAGTATGCAATGAAAAAAAAAAACAACAACAACCAGAGCAAAGTTATCCACATTGGCCTGTTAATACGGAAATTGTTCGCACTGATACCCTCGGTAAAGTTTTTGTCGAGTTGCCCGTCGTTTATATTCAATTAAGTCATTTGAAAGTGATGGTTTAAACAGTGCTTATCCCTTATCACTATATATACTTGGGTGCTTCACACTATACTCAACGCTTTTTGCAAAACTTATGGCTGTCCCTGATTTTCATGTTTTTCGCAAAAAAATGTGTCCAATAAATGGTTCTCTACCAGGGATATTTTTATGCAACAACCATGCGGTGTCAAACCGATTTGCGATGCCTTGGGGTCGTTGGTGATTACGTTCGGGTGGCAATGAAACTGACATAATATAAAATTGGCGATTTCAGATATGCAGCCGATTTTCAAGAATATCTTCGGATCAAAGGGAGTTCTCTTTTTATTTATAAAAAATGCAGTGAGCATATTCCACTTTCATTTTTACGGAATTCCAAGAATTGCTCGGAATGTTTAGTTCACTGTAATTTTTGCAAAAAAGAAAGCGAGCCTCCATAAACTTTTTTTTTCGTAAACTTCTGCAGTAAAAATATTATGGTCAAAATATCGTGAAGATTATGAAGAAGAAGGAAACACGCAAACTCACACAATTATAATAAGAATACTATTCTGACATTCAAACTCTCGAACTTCCGTTTTTTTCCTGCGTTTTCAAGACAGAAAGAACTTAGTATTAATCAGATATTGACATTATTTCATCAGGCTCAAATGTTAATTCGAGTCCTCAAAATTCGAAATGTAGTTTTAGAAATAGGCAATTTAGAGACGTTTGAGTCTTTCCTACTTCAGCTTCTAATCATCTGAAATCAAACATCTGTAAACTATTGGAAGCTCTGTTATTCAGCAATCAAGTTGAGTGAAACAAAACTAAGAAGATGAACGCGCTTTTCGGTTTCCTCAAGAACGCTAACATTGCAAACGCCTGGGATCGACCCCAATGTATCACTTGTTATTCGAACTTACTCAGGTATCTAAGTCATTGTTGATTTTACCTAAAACGCCACCAAAACCCCTAGCAATTTATAACTGACTAGAACTTGCCGGGAAAGAGAAGTTTTGACTCTATTACCTTCGTGATCCATTGCTTTTCCCTTGAAATTTCCGGCGTAAGATCAATCTTCAAAAGTATGATCTCAACACATCCACAGTCTCGATCGATATCAGCCAATTCCAAGAATATCCTTATGGCCCAAGGGAATTTTCCCTAACTATTGAGTTGAGCATTGTTTTACTTCCGTTTCGATTTCTCGGAAAGTGCTAAGGATTCATTCCAAAAAAGGATTCGGTCTTTGACAAGGTCAAGCATGTTTCATAAAGAAGTGTTACGGATGGTTCAAATGTTTACTGAAGAAGGAAGAAAAAATAGATATGCGTCTTTATATAACCATAGCACCTTTGTGGTTGCTTCCATCCATTCTTTGGTGTTCGACACAACTTCCGCGTCTGCCTATGTTACCAAGAATATTGAGTCCCATTGTCCCATTGTGTTGGTGGTGTCTCCAGTCGAACAACTATGATCATGAGCCATTTATGTTCTGCGCAGCCGCTTTTGTGTTGTCACGTAATGCTCTTCACTCGTTCTTGATTTGTTGTCGTCAGCAATTAATAAACAGCAGGCGTTCTTTAGCCAATCGCAAAGGTAGCATTCACTTGGAAACAGGGGAAAAGAGAAAGCAACATCAATGAGCCCAAGTGCCTGCAACAAGTCATTTGGTAACCCGAAAACGCTCATCGGACCAAATAATTTTGCCAAGTTCTGTCACTGATGAAATCATCCACACTGTTGTAAGGCCGTCTATTTTTGCCGCAACCCTGTTCCCGGGGTTTTAGTTAGTAATAAATTAACTCGTTTAATTAAAATCCGCATTTAGTTAATTTAAATAATATTTCACGGTCTTGCGCCGGTTCGGTTCCATAGAAAGGAAAAAAAACTCTAGCGCTCCTTTCAACGAATAGCGGTTTGCGGTTGAGTAACATGTGGCAATCATCGATGGATATTCTCATTTAGTTAGAATTTTGAAACAAAGACATGGACGAGTATGCCCCTTATTTACGATAGCCTTTTTTTCATCGAGACAGCATTCCTATTTTGGTGTCACGCAAGGTGATAACTAGGAAGTTCAAATTGCTGAATTTTCGAAATGAGACATGCTACGGGAATGGAAACTTGTACAGAGATTTATTTTTTTTTTTATCTTTAACCTAGTGTAAATAAGAATTCGTATAACCTCGCTATTTTGACTTTACAATTTGATGACGTCACTGTGAAAACCATTTATATCTCTCTAATTTCTCATGAAAGAAAAAAGGATCGATTCGTATTTTCTGTCATCACTATCATAATTGTTACTAATAACTATTACTATTATTATTATCATTATTGCTATTATTATTATTAATATTATTATTATTATCATTATCATGATCATAACTATAAAGAAATTCTCAAATCTGATTGGCCATCAGCAGCCCTGGCCTATTTTCAGCATTAGTAGGACAGTGTAAGAGGGTCTAAAAGGAGAGTACGCGCCACTCCGTGTGCGCTCTGACATGTTCTCTTGGACCTAATACATTACAAATCTGGTTATAGTTATGACTAATTGGAAACAACACTTCGTGTCGTCCAATTAGGTGTGTAACTCTTAATTAAACAAATCGGAATCCTTTTGTTATTCACTCGTATTAGAACTGACCGAATTAGACTCCACTCAGTTCTATTACCATTTTATATATTAACTGTTTTCTTTATTTCCATTACGACTTGACAAGCCGAGAAAACTAGCACTAAGCTTTTTAGCAACCACGAAGACGATGGGAACAAAACAATTAGAAAAAGACATTTGTTTGATAATTAAAAGAAACAAAATGGTGTGTTTGCTGAGGAGGAATCAAGTCAAATTGCTTAAGAGTGCCAATATTGCAGCTTAAAATGATAGGCTTAATAAGCACGAGAAATACATACTTTACCTTTACCTCTCATTTTAGTTACAGCAATCTTATCAGTATCCGTTTCTGAGTCTCACTGGCTCAAATTTCCTGGATAATTCTTCATAACCAGTTAGTTTGACCAAGTCTGGAAGGTGTTTGCCGATGTCAGTGCAATTGTAGTCAATTGTACTGATTCCGACAAAAACTTACAATAGAAAGCACGGTAGATCAGCTGTTTTTGGCAGAGGAGAAAACTTTGAGGAATATTTCACACGTCAAGCGAAGAAGAAATACTCAAACATGTGCCAAAAAGACAAGGCAAGAGAAGCAAAGATACCCTTGATGAATGTAGGTTTAACTGATCCGTCGTCAATCACCTGGTTTAGGGTGGGGTTTATGCAAATCAAATCGCAAGGCGCTCGCACAGCTTCACCCGCTTGTGGTTCTTTTAAAAGGCTTATGCGAGGCGGTGGGAAGCAGAACTAAATATAACTCGTGAATAGCGGAGAAAATTGCACTGAGGAATGGTATTTTGGTCGAAGGAGGGATGATCGAAGGGTAGCAGACATTACTTTATTCGTGAAAGTGGGAGAGACATCCGTTAGAAATATCAGAATAATGATCAAAACGTCAAAACAAACCAGCTGATTCAGCAAACAGCAGAGTATCGCCTGGGGCATGAAAAAAGTTGAAAAGCGAAAACTGCCAGTGAGTAAAAATACAATGTTTTATTTTAGTTTTGACCTAGTGCCTCGAATCGAACCCAAGACCGACTTGCAAGAAGGCGAATTCACATTCCAAGGGACGTTTTGCCCCCGTCGCCGTCCTAGTCGCGTAAGCTCTTTATATATCTATTTATATGTCGCCCTATGTAAGGAAATATTCTGGAATCCGGGAAATTTATGCTTGTGGAATTCCGGAATCCCGGAAAAATTGGCATCTGGAATCCGGAATCTTAGGCTATAGAATCCAGACTACAGCTCAAAGAATCTGGAATGCCACAAACGATTGGAATCCAGAGTCATAGTTCCACTGAAAAAGATAGATAGATAGATAGATAGATAGATAGATAGATAGATAGATAGCTTTATTAAAAATCCATTGCAGCCCAAGGGCTGGATTACGGACTGTACAATACGTTGAATACTAAGACTAACTATTATAAATAAATAACAGTAAATAAATAAAACAAAGGAACAAAATACTACGTCATGAAATTTAAGAAAATAGCCGCGATTTTACAATAAAACCATTAGAAAATAGCCGCGTTATGCATGATAAAACTATTCATTAGTCTATTTGTTCTGCAAAGAGGTACGTTAAAAGCGCGCTTTTTCCTTAAGGCTACAGTACTAAGATTACGTGGCGGCAAAAGGCCATGTAATTTGTGGAGGCTGTTGTCCTTAATCTCATTGAATAGGCGCTCTGTCAGCCATTGGCGCCGTTGGTGGAGGGTGGCAATATTGCACTCTTTTAGAGCCTCTTGATAGCCTAAATCTGGGAAAATAATTCTAAGTGCACGGCGCTGAATTTTCTCTAGCTCTTCAGAGAGATACTCAGGCAGACCATTGTGGAAAACTTGGCAGGCATATTCAGACATGGGCCGGATACACGTAGTATAGAAACAAAGTAGCTGCGCAGGATCTCCTTTTGCACGCTTAAGCTGCCTTAAAAGATATAGCCTAGAGGCTCCTTTTTTGATAACATTCTCTATGTGAGCGTTCCACTTTAGATTGTTTGAAATTGTGAGACCAAGAAGTTTTGCGCTAGTTACAACCTCAATTGGTTTGTTGTTAATAGTAACTGTTTCGAAAGGATCTACAGACCTTGAGAAACTTATCTGCAACTCTTTACACTTGGTCTCATTCAATTGGAACTTATCTATTTCGGCTTGCCTAACTAGGTCGTCTACAGCAAATTGGATTCCACTTGGTTGGCCCTTGTGGACTGTCTCGGCCATCGATGTGTCATCGACGTACTTCCAAAGGTTGACGCCATTGACATTGATGTC